ATGGACAAGCGCGAGTCAGATGATCACACCGTGCGTGTAGCCGCCCTCACGGGGATGAAGCGCAAGTCGTTGGGGATGAAGGAGACGACAACGATTCTGAAGAAGCAAAGAAGACGATGATGAAGAAGGAAAGACGCAGCTCTGCCATCATGAAGGAGTCAGTCAACGCCGTCATGAGCTTCACTTCAATTATGGAAAATACCAACAAGTTCAAGATCGATGAGCTCACATTCCATAAGGAGTCCAATGCAATCGCCATGCGCAAGCTTGAACTCGACGAGAAGCGCTACCTCCTTGACAAGGCCGAGCGAGAAGCACGGTTTGCTCTTGAACAACAGGAACGCCAAGGACAAATGGATTTCATGAGGGGCACTCTTGAAATGATGCGTTCTATTACTAAAAAATGTAATTCATTTTGCATTTACTGCATACACACAGGTTGTCTAGCCTCAAAGCACCGAATATTGTGTTTACTGTTAATTTGTCTTAAGCTTGGGGGCGCAGGTATTCCTCCGCCGTTGGAGGTTTCATTCCTAAGTAGCTGGAATCTTGATTGCCTTCCTTCATGCAGGTGTGCACGTTCGTTAGGATGACAGCAACACTATAGTGCACGCCTACGGCATGCAACCAAAGCTTCTGTCCTCCTCTATAGTCGACAAATGTCCACAAATTGCGGACTATACCAAACTCCCACTCCACGAATCTTGCTCCTTTAAATCCGGATACAATTACATCATTGATCCCATACGCGGGGTCTCCGTAGATCACGTCACGGGTGTTTTCGACGCGTATCTTGTCTTGTAGCTTACTAACAAGGTGGCTCCGAGCGAGAAGATAAGAATTATGGCGAGAGCCAGGCTCAGGACCGTGGAGATGAACGATAATTCCATCCGGCGACGTTACAGCTTGGTACTTGAGGGCATGTTTGCGCTACCACAACATTACACAATTCGATATTAAGTCAGCAATATATTTCGTGTATTAACTCATGTTAAATTCAATGTGCTTGCACACCAGCTTCGTATATGTCACCATGAAATCAACTTGCACACGTTTTGGGTACGAACAGGATCGATTCACCTCCGAAAACGATGTGAGACGGCTGAAGAAAGTTGTGGACTTGGTAACTTGTCAGTACAATGTACGAAGAATCAGGTAGTAGGAAAATTCCGAATAGTATGAGTGGGTGAAATTG